ACGTTTCATTATCAAAAAACTGGAGAAAGAATTTCTATCTCCTTCCGGATAATTCTTATTAAGAGAAGGGATAAGTGACTGAATGGAATATCGGATAGCTTTTTCCGTGATTAGGTTTTTTCGTGAGTATTAGTAAATACTCTGAGTTTGGGAGTGTATGGGATCGAACATTGGACTTTTCTCGTATTCGATCCTTAACTCTAAACGTTACCATTACGAAATGACCAAACTCATTGAGTGTTGATCACTTGCTAGGTTTACAGTGCATTATGGTTCTTTCTTAAGTGATCCTTTCGGAGTGGTGGTGGCATGCAGGCAACGAGAAATTTCAATTGAGACCTTATTTCCTCCCTTGGAGCGATCGTATTTGTCGTCCATTCTAAACGAAGAGGTTGATTGGTGATGTGTTTCGGGTAGGTATATCGATGCCACAAACCTAAAGCAGTTGTTGTTTATAAGGGAAAAAAGTGTTGCTGGACGTTTAAATCGATTGCCTGGATAATCTTGTAGAATTGCCTTGAAGTTATGCAGATGATCGAAGATCAATCACCCTTTCATCTGAGACAACGCCATTTTTATGCAACAGTAAATGATAATTTTTTCGTTAATACTTACTCAAAAAAAGAAAACTTCTGCGAAAATGTTTTAGTTCCTATGGAAACTCATGAAAAAACACTCCATTTACTTGAAATATAGCCTGATACACATTCACATTTCATACGAAATTGTGAAATCTCTAGCATTTGAATGGTTTCGAGATTATGATTTCATCAGAGNCACATTCACATTTCATACGAAATTGTGAAATCTCTAGCATTTGAATGGTTTCGAGATTATGATTTCATCAGAGAGCATAATACTTCATTTGGTAGGTTTTCATTTCACTCAGGATTTGATCGAGAGTTACTATTGAAAACTAGAAAATTGACGAAGAAAAAGAAAATCTGTTGAAAGATAATACTGATATCACGTTCATAACATACGCAACACAATAAACGATTGAGTTGCCGTAGACCTCTGTAAACACTCAGAGCACTGAGGGACAAGACTAGATATGGAGACGCTCGAAAGAAACACTCTCGACTATGTTTACGTGATCCTAAGAAATGCCATTCTGAGCGAATAAGGCGGGAATTGACTACAGTATGGGAATATCACAGAGTTATGACATTAACTACCATATCTTATTATCCATCGGATAAGTCAACTACACAGCAAATGATGAACTTTAATGCCAACATTTTGGTGTTGCATTGATCCTCATCTCTCTTCTATCTCTAGGCGTTATGATAAAATCGATGTGATATAGGTTGTACATCTTCGTACTTTTTTTTACACTTTGCTTGGTGCCCATTTCCTATACCAAACAAAACATCATCCTCTCTACACTACGGTATCATTATGGCGCACAATTCAGTTGTATGTCATATCATATCAAAGACTTATTTTTAGCAGATTTTGCAGCATTTTGAGGTTCCACAGACCCGTTAGATAGAGGTATTTACCTCATTATCTTGTAAGGCCGCCAGAGTGAAGAAGAGTTTTACAAACCAAACGTTTCCATAAATGAGCTCATTGTCAGCTAGATTCACGAGAGTCAGTAAGAGACGAAATAGGCAGCCAGTATCACAACCCATGTCTACAGTGAACAACGAACATTGCTTCATCTTCAACTGAAAATTATGCGTTCAATCTTTAGGAAATTAAAAGTTATTGATTATCGTCTCTTCAACATAAAAAGAAGAAAAAAATACTGTCGTGCACAATTGATATTTGGTCCACTCTCTAAATATAGTTTCATACTCGTTATAGGAGCAAGAATTCCTCCAGTCCTGAAAGAAGTCTAATGAAACAATTGCTACGGCATCTTTGTAAACCTCTAAATGCTTTTTCGAGATTTTACCAATGCAAGCGATTTCTACCCGGAACTTCACCTACCACTTCATCGATTCAATTCAAACAAAATATGACAGTAATGGGTATTGAAACAAGGTATACTATTCAAATCTGAATTCATTAAACATTCCAAAGTTTTCGAATTTCACTTCCCTGTTCAAAATGATGCACTGATTCGTGGCTAATTCATTGCCAGTTGAAGACTGCATTTCTTGTCAAAATTCAAGAGGATACGACATGTAGCAGATTTCATAGAAACGTTTGACCCTGAAGATGCGATTGATTCTGATTTCAATAAGCAGAAGCCATAAGAATTTAGTGGAAGCCGAAAATAGATTAGTATTAGAAAGGTGAACAAATGATTCAGAATGTTAATAAGTGATCGTCGATCAGTTGTGACGATACGGCGGTCTGTGTGCTGACCAGCCGCCGAAAAGTGCTCAGTTCGAGACGATATGCGAATCGAGAAGTTCAGAATCGCCTTGGAGGAATATGCCCGAGTCTTGTGGCCCAACAGGTTCAATCCACTGTCTACTGTACTTCATTTAATGTTGATCATTCATTCCTTATTGAACAAACTCCTCATGAATCTAAATGTTGGTGATTCCGTGCCTAGTCAGCAAAAATTTATCTCATCTCGATCATAATCATTTTCCACAATGACAACTATAGTCTTCATACTACTGTTTCCATCACAAATTGATCAAAATCACATTCTAAGCTAACGCAACGAATGTTCACAAATTTTTTAGAATTTGAAATTGCAGAATCGACATAACTTCGACTTTTTTGTAGCATCGAAATCTTATCAGCCGTTTCGTCGATGAATGTTTGGAAGAAAGTGGAATGCGTCTGGCAGATCTGGATGGAATAGCCGTAAGTACAAGGCCTGGGCTTGTGATTGCCCTGCGAGTTGGAATCGCTAAAGCACTTTCGTTGGCCAGGTTCGCCGTTTGAATGACACATTTTTCAGTGACATACCCAAAGTATTGATACAATAGACGAAATACGAGAATTTCACAGTATTCTATGCAGAATACATATAACATACCTAGCAGATATAATGTTTGGGATTTTTTCATGACTTATCACCGGTATTTGCTGAGACTGAAACTTTGAAGTGGTGAAATTCTGCAGTTTTATATCAGCATCGATTACTGGTGTTTGATAAAATTGATAATTTGTGATATTTCAGGCAGGCTCGAACTCGATTCGTCAGCGTTCATCATATGCAAGCACATGCTACTATTGCATCCCTGCTGCATCCTGAAGTGCGCTTTCCTTATGTATGTGTCCTTATTTCGGGTGGTCATGCTCTGATTACGATCGCATACGGACCCGAAAACTTCGAGCTGTTAGCGTCGAGCGTCTCAGGAAGCCCTGGCGAGTGTCTAGACAAAATAGCCAGATCGTTGCCATCTGAAGCGTTTACTGAATTCATTGGTCTGCATCCGGGCGCGGCACTTGAGCAACTGGCCAAAAAGTCCGATTTTTGCCTTCTTTATGACAGTTCTTTTCAAGTATCATATATATCGGTAGATAATCTTGAAGTTAAGATAATTTTTATTGTGTTAATCATTTCTAGTGATCATATTTCGTCCACAGAATAGTGCAAAATTCGTCAAGTGGATAGGTATAATTTCAGCTGTTCACTGGATGGACATTTACATTATCGAGTCAATATGCCAGGCACAAATGGTCCCAATATGGACTTCAACTCTGTCAAAAATTCATATCTGACATTATTAAGAAAACTGAATTTTGCATCGTTGAATGTGGAAAATTTTTGTGCAAGTGTCCAGGTGAAACCTACATTATTATTTGGTATTTTATCGTTGCCGTACGTTGGTGATGCAGAATGTTGACATCTTTTATGTAACAGTGTTACAGCGATTATCATGATTTAGAAAATATAGCTACTTTAAAGTAAGTCGGGAGGAAATAAGGGTCATTTGACACCAGGAAAATTAAAAAACTGAAATTCAGAATTCAAAACGGACTGAAGTAGAAGAATGTCGTCGAATTCGTATAGCTCATTTGATACTTCATTTAAATCGTTTCCCAAATTTCGCTTCTCCTACATCCAAATTGATTAGTCCGGCAGTTGCATATGATAAAAATTTCTGCTTTCAGCTGTTACAATCATTCTGCTTGAATGAATTCTTTTGATGTTTCAGCATTCAGTTGCAGCTCATTTAGCGAACAAACTACATCATTGTCTTGAGTATATCAACAATTTGAACAAGGTTTCTTTTCAATCTGAATCGTACATGATCGTTTCTAAAGTCTTGAACTTGATCTCAGATCGAAAGGCCAATGAAAGCGCATGATCCATTATATAAGTTCGATTGTCAGTGCAGATTCGGAATCAGTTATTGAGAATGTGTACAGATATTTTGTATAATGCAGATCCCAACGGAGAATCGCCGTATTGTCGTGTCTGGAGGTGTTGCCTCGAATGCGTATATTCTCAGTGCCCTCGAAAAGATTGCACATACATATGGTTATTCGCTGTTAACAATTCCACCTCGATTGTGTTGTGACAACGCAGAAATGGTCGCCTGGAATGGAATACTATTGATCAATTCGAAGTGAGTTCTGGCACGGGTTTCTGCCGAACTTACTGCTTGGGAGCGAACATCTAGCTTCATTTTACGGTTCCTGCAGCCAAACCAGAAGATATTACCAATGTTGATGGAGCCCAAAGTTTAGACGAAGAATCATATTGCATACTTAAGGATGTTGATTATTTGTTATCACAGAATGTTGATTATTGCAAAGAGTTACATCAAAGCTCCTAGATTGAGATTATTTTTCATCACCATATAATAACCGAGCAGAAGGTTAATTACGGCTCTGAGTAAGTTTATTTAAGTTGTTTTATTTCAGTAGTAATTCGGTGATGGAAGCAGACAATATCCCGTGGTTGATACCGGCTCAGCGATGTTCACCGATCGGTAAAGATATCAGCAAGGAATTACCGATTAAACCCAGTGTACGCTTATCAATGAAGTCGATTGCAACGCCGAAAATTGTTTTCTACCATAAGCCAAAAGACCACTCGATTACCGTTTAAAGCGTTGTTGTGTTGTTGTTTTTACTTTGATAAATTTGCTCAAGTGTCTCGTTTGTTTTGTACGCCATTGTGTAAATTAGTATTTACGACAAGATATGTGACTTCAAAAGTTCCTAAGGGGATCCAATGTAATTTGAACAGTTCAGTTTTAGACTGATTGTAAGCAAAATGAAAAATGTTCTTTCTCATGCAAAAATTGATATTTTTGCGGTTATACTTTGCAAAAGTAATCTTGAGATTGCTTAATACGTGTATGTCATTTACATACAATACAGAGTTTTGGAATCTGATCACTCGATCGAACAAGCCGAATCAACTGTTCTCATATGTTGACAGCAGTTGATAGCAATTATTTATCTGGCAGAGTGCAATAGTGACTGTAAACAAAAATAACCAGTACGAACTTATCGCACTTGTTTTCGTTACTTCTGAATTAATTGACGATTGAAGTGGAGAAATTTTCAGCAATCCGTATAAATACTAGCACTTAGTGTGTTCCGCGCATTATGACAGTTCTTTGTTTTTAAAAACTTTGCGGCTTACATGTTCAATCCAAAAAACCAAACAAATTTCTATGACCTATCTACCAGGTCGATAGTAATTCCATATGCAACAAATGCATTGTAGCACCAGCCGTTGGATTTTTTAGATGCACCAAGCGATGGATATTATTTCTGAATGTGGAGCAGATGGCTTGTGCCAGTGGTTTTAATCGAATCGAATCGAATAAATGCATAATAAAATCTCGTCTGAATAAGCATCCATATCATCATGTTTTGTCCCTATAAGCATACTCACATTCACTCTTATTATTACTATTGCTGATACTTCCAGTTATCAATGTTATTATCTGGTGTTTTATTATTATTATTATTATAATTTATTATTATTATTATTAGGTTGTAAAATATGCTTGTGCAGTTTTTGCAGGATCTTCTGTTTCAATATTATCTGGTGCTATTATTCATAATGACCACTATTACACTATTATTATTACTAGTATTATTTTGATATGGTTACTGCTAACGATGTTATTACAAACATCATCATTATATGTTGTTGATACTCCCACTAAGTTTTCATTACTACGTTATTCTTTCGCCATGCATCTGCTCATTTCAGTTGCTCGTTGTCAGATCATAAACACTTTTCTTGAGTTCTTGAGAAGCTTTCAAGCGAATCGAATGCAACACTGTTGATTTTATGCGACGAGATCGGCATTTATACAGTAATGATTATGGAATAAAATTTGAAACGAACAAGGAAAATCATTTCAATGAGAGAAGTTTAAAAGAGGAATTATTTCTCTGCAGCAGTCGAAAAATCGTAAACACGATGAAATAATTATCAACAAACAAACACAAACTAAAACACATTGAATATGCGAAATAACAAACCCCAAAAAACAAACAAACAAACAGTCAAAGACGAGAGAACAATTTGAAAAATGCATTGAAATTGTGAGGAGGAGCATGATTTTGAGAATGCTTTCGATAATAAGTTCAAAGAACAGTTGAGACGGTTGAACAACGGTAAAATACTGAAAGATTAAGCGGAGATTTCNTGCTTTCGATAATAAGTTCAAAGAACAGTTGAGACGGTTGAACAACGGTAAAATACTGAAAGATTAAGCGGAGATTTCAAATGACTGAAAAGGAAGGAGATTTCTCTTGTGATGAATTTTCTTTCCTTAGAAATTTCCTTCTGGAAACTGAAGAAAATTTTCAGCTGATAACACCGAAGGACAATCTAAATTTCAGATTTCTTTAGTAATAATTCAATCCTCAAATTCTTAAGTCGCCATTAATCCAAGAATTTAGAATAAACAAATCTTCAAGTATTGATGAACAATGCTCAGTAGCAGTATGCGACAAATAAGTTCAAAACCCAAAACTGACTCAATTTCGACATCCACAAAAGTCAAACTATTTCAACAAAACAACGCAATGAGAGGCGCTAAAGCATCGAATGATAGAACGAAGAATTTGATTTTAAGGAACATTACAGTAAGCGAGCAATAAAGCTTGCATTATACAAGATATATTAATTGAATGAATCCGGTTGGCTCACAATTCGAATTGAGCTCCTCCAAATAAGCAAAATAAAGAAACGTCGTCAATCAGTTAGAGCGATACACCGTAAAGACGGTTACCTGACCGCNGCTCCTCCAAATAAGCAAAATAAAGAAACGTCGTCAATCAGTTAGAGCGATACACCGTAAAGACGGTTACCTGACCGCCAAAGTAATGATGATATCATGAAGAGAAGATAGTCAAAAAATTAGCTACGATATAAAATGAGTATAACACTCGTAGCATCGAACAATACTCTACTTTAAAGCAATACTTTCCGAATTCTTTGCAAATCGCCTTATTGAATACACCAAATCTCCATGAATAGATCGACGGCAATGTTTCGTTTAACTAAAAAGCTGGGTCAGGAATTCGAATAATAAATTTCTGAGAGGGGAAAAGTTTTTGGAAACATGAGGAAGGGATGATCTTCACTTTAGAGGATGTGACTGAATTTAGACTGCAATTTCTGCAAAATCCTCGAAGACAACAGTGAATGTTGAGGCATTCGACTCAATCTTTATATCCTCATTTTCCTTCAATTTCGCATACTCATGAGAGAATCTTCAATACAACTCTTCATTCAATATCACCATCACCTCAAAAATATGCTCTACTGATCACAACGAATGAATCGAATAAATATCGAATGAATATGAACAAAACTGTTAAAATCAGCAGTATATTTGAAAATATGGCAAAACGCACACAATCTAACAACAACACATTACGGTTGATAATAATACCAAATACAATAATATTTAATATAAATATTAACGATAACAACACTCATAATTATGGTAATGAAGAAAGCGACTAGTATGTCCTTATGAACGCCAAAAAATGCGGTATGATATACTTCTCTTCCGTAGATTCATTTCATCAGGATTCTTCTTCTATAATACATCAAATTCGTGAAACGCGAAAAAAATCTGTACTGTAATTTTCCATTAATTCACAATATTCGCTATCATAGACGATGTAGTCGACGGGCAAAGCACTGAAATTATTATATTAATTCTTCATGAGCACCAATACATAAACAGCAAATACGTGGCATATATGAAATTCAAAGAATTCAAGGCTGTATTGTGAATAAATGAGATGAAAACTGTATTTGTGACAAATAACAACAACCGAACAATATTAATGGTACTCACCAGTCAGGATATAATCGGTGAGCATGCTCGGAACTGCTGGATTGTCATCGTCGATCGCTCGTAATACTGAAATAACAAAATTATCATTGGAATATTCACTTTGCCATTAGTCAGTTTACCATTTTTTTATTCATGACTCTGAATTTTCGTGAATAGCTATATCTCCTCGAGAAAGCGAAATCGCTCGGCAAAATATTTTTTTTCTGATCGGAGAGATTCTGCCGGATCGAATAGTGTGCAGATATTCATATGTTATCGCTAATTGAGAAATCAGATCACTTCATGTGAAAAGTTTTCACAAACGGAGTAAGTGAAAATCATTTCATTTACTTACATTTGATGAGTGCTTGCAAGGTGTTGTTGTCCATATTTTGATGTGTTTCATCGTAGGGTATCGATGCAGTCATATACTGAAATACAACGAACTAAATTTATAATCCGCATCAATTCAGCTTCTCTGGGCAGTTCAAACTTGAAAACCATCATAAATATTTATTGAAATGAATAAAAATGATGAGATGAGAAGTCAAAGTGAATACCTGCGGCAATTGTGATGAATCGATTTTGAGCGCTTTTCGTTTTCGTTCATTAGCAAATTGTCGTCGTCGATTCTGGATGGATAGAAGTAACGAGATAAAAGTATTCTTCATTTCTTTCTCATATTCCAATTCATCCCTATGCGCCAATTGCTCCACTAAACTGTCGTTATAAACCTGAATTCAATATTTTTCAAACAATCAAAACCAAATCACATCTGATCATCAATCATGATATGTGGCTCGTTTACCAAAATCTAGTTATTTTTGATCCTCACTACTACTATCAATGCTCCATTCAGGTTCGGTCCGCTGAAGAGTTGATAAGCTTTTGAGGATTTTGTACCCAAACACCACATCTTTACCAACTGTATTGTGTAAAATAAGAAACAATTTCGTCCTTATAAGTATCAATAATCAAAAAACGTCAATCGAACTACGCAAACTTCACCCGACCTGTATGAGTTGCTCCATTTCAGCATTTAAAGTAACCAATTTACTGTACGATAGTGACTGAAGATCTGAAATGATCATTCAAATCGCATCATTAACTTACACAAATGTTCAATGAACCAAAGGAATATTCAAAAAGAATTACTTGAAAACATAACATGAGAAATCAAACAAAATGCGGATAATCAACCACCGATGAGGATCTAAACTAAACAGTGAAATGAACACAAATAAACCATTTAAAAATTCAAGCAAAGGACGAAGCAGAAGCTGGAAGTTTCTAAAACAATGAAGAAAAAGACAGTATGTTCGACTGAACGTATTCGAACGATCATAGTCGGACGTGAAAACAATCTATATCACAGCCTAATTGAATAGTTTTCATTCGTTGAATTAATCAACATTTGATTTGCTTTAATAATACTACATGAATAGTTTTAGCATGCCAAATATGCGTTGAAATTGTTAAGGTCATATAAATTTTGCCACAATACGTAAAGAATCTAGATGGATCATGCAGTTAGATCATATCAAAAGGATCAGTAGATCAAAATGCTAGGTCATAAAATGCTTCATTAGCAACTAAACTGCTTGGACATGTCCCTATTGGCCGCTGGCTTAACAATTGAGTAACATAAAATTACAAATTTCCTATTAAACTTACAAAAGAAATTTGGAGAACGCTCACAATCAGACCCCTTCAAAATCATTGATTAGTAATAGGAAAATAAATGTACAAAGGATAATCGAATGACAAAAAACCTCTTGCGACATGAGAAACGCAACGAAAGCCAAAAATATCTTTTTGAGAAAAAAACGCAAAATATCTTATAGCTAGCAATAAGCGATACAAGATATAAGCATCTGGCAACGAAGAAACAGTTGAGGAGAAAAAAGAATGACCACATGCATTTATTTCATTCAGCAAATTCACCATTGCTCTATCTAGACAGTTTCAATCATTCAAACAATACTCAGAAAATAAATCAGCAACACAATTGTGCAATCGCAATTCATTTACATATGGCATAATAGCAGTAGCTTAATCCAGTTCCTTGTATTCAACTTACCATCTAGGCCTGGATACACTTTAATATTCAACACTTTAGATTATTCATGAACTAATTCGAGATCAACATTTCGAGTTGTGATTAAATCGTTTTCAAGGATACTGGACGAAACCAATGTTGTTTCCGATCGAACACAACCAAAAAACCGATTCAACTGATTAAAGGTAATATTGGTTTAGGTCGCGATTGGACGCAGACACGGATGGAAAACAGAGGACAAACTCCTTCACAGACTCAAACGGTTCAGTTTAAAACAGCAAGAATGCTTACATTCAGGATTTGCAGTGATGGCAGTGGCCTGCCTGAACTTGGCGTCCAGCTCGGACTGTGCGGATGGCAGCGGAGAGCGCATTGATGAATACATACTGTCGACGGATTCCATCGTACGATCGGTCATCATTGAACCAGTAAAATCGCATGACTGAAACAACTACTGTGCACAGTCTAAATTCAGCCACATCTCTTAAGGTGAAGATTATCCATCCTTCATTTTTCCCAAAATTTTTTCTCTTCTCGGAAATTTATTGCTTTGAATTCCTAACCCAGCTGCTCTTTGGTTAAACGAAATATTGCTGTGGATCTATTCGAAGATCTGTGGGCATTTAATAAGGCGATTTGCAAAGAATTCTGACGGATATTGCTTCAAAGTAGAGTATTGTTCGATGCTAATTGAAAATACAAAATACTTCATCACTGATTATGATAAGAGATGATCATCTGTGCAGGTATTAAATCACTTCAGGAAATAGCTACCATATTGATTTTACTCGATTACGACTCAATTACACTCATTTACTTGTTTCTAAACGCTTTCAGTTTAGTTTCAAAGTTTTCAGTTTGTAAATGGTCGCTTAATCGCTATGGCATTATGGCTGATACTATTTGCAAATCAGATGATTGCTAAAAAAAACGCTCACATGTACCTGTAGCATTTGATCGATTTCTTCGATAACTTGATCAGCAGTCTGCGGTGGTGAATCAGAGAGTGGTCCTTGTTGATAGATGAGTTGATGCATATCCAATGCACCTCTTAATTCCTCATCCTCCGATACATCTACTCCTGGATCACTGCCCTCCTGAAACATTATCTTTCATTACATGCTCTCTTCTTTTTAAGATATTGTCTGTCATGTGCACAATTGTGGATAATGAAGTTATTTTTTCGGGTGTATTCAGAGTCTCAACAATCATTCAAGTTGCAATTACCAAATGAATGAGCAATCGCGATAGACATTCATGAAAAATGTCTTTCAGCTGCACACAACATCCATCTGGCCCGCAAAC